GCGCCTTTCGCGTTCCTTTCGCGCGCCTTTCGCGCGCCTTTCGCGACAATCCATTCTGCAACATTTGCCCAGAAAGCGCACTTCTGTACAGAGAGTTGCTGGACTTGCCACATTGCAGCAAGTGCCCGCACGTATTTTCTTAGAAAGGTTTGGCCGTGAAAGCCAAACCAATCCTGTCAAGAAATAGCCGTACGCGCGCGCAACGATCCAGCTATGCCACGGTACAAGAGAAGTTGTTGGGACTGACTTTCGAACCTTTTGCGAACCTTTCGCCGCCCTTTCGCGAGCTTTCGCCCGCAGTTGTTTTTTGCATCATGCGTCCCCAAGCTTACATATTTCTTAACATGGGTTCTTGGACGATCCTCATATGTTTATTCCTGGAGTATTGGTATCTGTGATGTCCTGGCCCGTTGTTGTCCGCATTCTGCAATGCTTAATAAATCTTCAACAATAACGCTAATGAAGCAAACGTGGGATCTCTTTCGTCCTTCTGCCCCAAATTCATCTCAGCTGACCTTGAAAACTGGTGGCACTCCAAACAATGCTGCTTCTTTTGCCTTTGTGTATTGAAATGATCAGTTTGAGGTCTTCAGGCGACACCCTTTTTTGAGGAGGGCTTGCGCCCTGTCCTCTCTCTCCACGGGAACCTGCAGAAGCCTTTTAACACTCATCGCCATACTCTGTCAATTCTACCCTCCGAAGACTTTGCTGCCTCCGGATCTTCATCATCCAGTATCTCGATAATCTCATCCTGTCCGTGGCAGAATCTAGCTCGCTGCCCTAACCAGACAAGCATCTTAAAGACTTCGGAACCAGGAACCCCCGAAAAAAAGATCACGGTGTCCTCAGCAGCTTCTATTGCTCCATAGACTGCATCCGCTCTCTCCGCGGGAACCTGCAGAAGCAAGGCTGAACGCCTGGACGCGTGAAAATGCAAGCGCGGCCCTCATCACACATCACCATGCTCTGTCGATCCTACCCTCCGAAAAGGGTCCGGAATTTGTTGATTTTTTGGTTTATTTGAAATTGTGTTTTGGCGTTTATCATTTTGGATGGCAATTGTGAGGATGCTCCACGCCAGAGCTCGATTTCAACTACTAATGCAAGGTTGGCTTTTGAAAAGTGTCAACGGTCACAGGGATTGTGGGTCAGGGCCGCGATCCTCGTAGCCGTTGCCGCTCTTGCACCCTCGGATCCTCTTGGAGTTTGACAAGTGTCAACAATTATAGAAATTGAGGGGGGCGGGGTGGCGATCCTCGTAACTGCCCTCGCTTTTGGACCCTCGGATCCTCTTAGGGTTTGGAAAATGTCAACAGTCACAGGACTTGTGGGGATCGCAATCGCGATCCTCGCACCTCTCGTTGATCCTGGACCTGCGGATCCTCTCGGAGTTTGAAAAGTATCAAAAGTCATAAGAATTGTGGCGTCCGGCTCGCAATCCTGGTAACCGTCGCCGCTTTTGTACCCTCTGATCCTCTTGGATTGTTTCAATACTTGGTGAGTGCAATTTGGAGTATCTTGTCTCGCGCAGAGGCTGCAGATTTTAAGTTACAGCATTGGGAGCTCAGCATAGCTCATCTAGAACTTGCAGAGAATGTAACCGTAGCATTTGGAGCTCATCTAGAGCTTTTAGACAGAACTGCAGCATTAAGCCTCTTAAGCTTGCAAATACTGAAAATTACAGCATTTGAAAATCTTTGGATACTGCAGATACTGGAAAACACAGCACGCCAGCTTTGCTTTTTTGGGGTGTGCCCATGCATATTGTAAATTACAGTATTCGGAGCTTTGCAAAGAACGTAGACACTGCGAGTTGCAGCATTTAGAGAGATTTTCATTTGCGCCTTGCATGGCGCAGCGTCCCGTTTTGCACACAGTATCCTCCACATAATCCTGCCTTACCCTCCCTACGGCACACATGGCGACGACGTGTTCCTTTAATACATACCGTAAGCAATGATGGCCTCAACCAAGCGGGGGGTTGGGGTGTCGCAGCCCCCCCCCCTATTTGGAAAACAAAGGATCCGCTCAACCTTGCCCTATTGCAAACATGGCGATGGAAGAAAAAAAGATCCGCACAACCATCCCTTACTGCAAGCATGGTGATGACGTGTTGCTTGTGTTTTGTTGCAAGCGTGTATGGCCTTATAAAACCGAGGGGGAGGCTGGGGTGTCGCAGCCCCCCCCCCTATGTGGTAAACAAAGGATCCGCACAACACTTCCCAAACATGGGGATGCATGATTTATTCGTAAGCATGGATGGCTTCAACAGAACGGGCCCGCTTGCACAAAAACATGACCAGCACAACAAAACCCCACTGCAAACATGGTGATGACATGGTTTTTGCAGCGTAAGCATGGATGTCTTCTAAAAAGCGGGGTTGGGGGGGGGCGCAGCGCCGCAGCGCCCCCCCCCCATTTGCAAACAACATGATCCGCACAACCTTGTCCTACTGCATACGCTGGCATACGCGCCGATGACATTTTTTTTACCGTAAGCATGGATGGCTTTCCGCTCGTGGTAGCTTTGCTGAAAACGCATTGCTCTGTTGCATCTCAATAATATTCTGAATAAGAAAACTGCCGCTTCAAGTCAGCAGGTGCGGCAAGTAAAAGTAGGACACAAAACCTACCCTGTTGGGGGGTCGTGGTGCACCCACCCACATCTACCACAGCACCTCCCCGCTAGGGGTAGCTTTGTTGAGCATGTGTGGCGTCTCAAGTAGCATTCTGGATACGAGAGATTCAAGTACTCATGACCGTAGACCCCCAAGAAGCCAAAAAAAGACAACATGGCAAACAAAAAGCACAAAGGAAGAAACAAACAGCAGGATGGCTGAAAGCGGCCAGCAGAAAGCAGAGTGTGGGCAACAAGCTAGAGGAAGTTAAAAGCAGCACACGGGAGGCACAAAGCAAGAGCAGAAAGCTGCAAGCAGACCGTAGGCAGCAAGGTACAGGAAGCAACAAGCAGGACGCAAAATGCAGGAAGCAAAAAGCAACCAGCGGAAAGCAAACAACACAAAGCAGAAAGCAAAAAGCAAGAGAACGGAGAGCAGAAAGTAACACAGAAAGCGTGCACGAAGCAACAAACAGAAAGCAAAGAGCAGCAACCAGAACCAGAAAAAGGAGCCAGAGACAGAAAACAAGAGGCAGTGACCCTAAAAACAAAAAATGAAAATAACAGCACATAAAAACATCAAAAAAAAACAGAATTCCATGAGTCCGAAGACTCTGCTGCCTCCGAATCTTCTTCATCTGGTATCTCGATCATCTCATCCTGTGACAGAGTCTAGCAAGGTGCCCTAATCAAACAAGCATCTTAAAGACTTCGGAAGCAGGACCCCCCGAAAAATGATCACGGTGCGTGAGCAAGCCCCGGCCCCTCCTCAACAGCTTCTTCTCCAACCTGCTGCATTGCATGATCATGATGAAGCTGCCTGCATGGTCTACCAGCAACAGCAAGCGTCACCTTAGTCGCCATCTCAGTCCCTCCCTCTTCGGCAACGGCCTCACCAGAAAATGGCTGTTGGCACCTCCAGCTATTGCAAAATGCTTCAAGGAAGATGGAGGTGTCCTCGGCAGCTTCTATTGCTCCATAAACTGCATCCGCTCTCTCCGCGGGAACCTGCAGAAGCAAGGCTGAACGCCTGGACGCGTGAAAATGCAAGTGCGGCCCTCATCACACATCACCGAGCTCTGCCAATGCTGGAAACCACCTTCCTAACATCTTTGTATGCGCTTGCCTCCGAAACCTCTGCTGCTGCCGGATCTTTTTGATCTGCCATCTCAATTGTCTCATCCTCTTCACGGCAACGTCTATCACCCTGCAAAACCAGACAAGCATCTTGGAACTATTTGGATTTCCACTTGTGCAGCATGCTGCTTCAAAACAAACCCAACATCATTGCAACAGCGGGGCAGAACTTGGTAAAAATATCACCTCAAAGGCGACGCCTTTTTTTTTTTGCGCTGTTGGGATCCGTCAGTACTAGAGTCATTATCATCTGGCACATCCTGCAATATTTCATTCCTTTGAGATATGCTAACCATGTACTGGGGGTTTCAACACCACGCATTGCTGCTTCCTACTGCTGCACTCCATTGCTATAACTATACATCTCCCTCGGTTCCGAATCGCATCCAACAACTTTCAGAAGAGACACAAAAAGGTGGTACGCTTGATGCAGCACATTCACGGGCCATGCTTCAATCGGGGAATGTTGGGGAACAGCATGGATGCATCCGCATGCGCCTATCAGCTAATCGCTGGAATATGTCACGATGGGCTACACTCACCTCCCGACACCACACCGTTTTTTGATGGAAGATTTTGATTTGAAGAGATATCTTCGCGAGTGATGCGTGTGAGAACTCTCGGGGCTCGATGCTTCTCAGATGGATCTCCAATACATGCTATGGCTTCTATGGGCTCCTGTACCTATGATGCTACTGTGGAAAATGTGCATGGATTCTTCAGCGGCTGACCGTTTCCAAGATTGTGGACCTGGTCCCTCATGCTAAGCCCATGGTGACGATGATGATGCCTGTGCCATGTGTACTGCACAGTACGCTCGCTCAAACAGCCTGTCGCATAGTGTCTGACACCGCTACATTTCAATTGTCCAGTTGCGCCCTGGAAAGATCACGTTGCATAAGGATCTCCCGGCCGGTCCTCGGCGGCTTTCTGCTCAGCCTGCTGCATGGCGAAACTTGAGGCTGAATGCACGGCCTGGCAACCAGGGCCGCTTCAGCAGGCAGAGTCTATGTGCTTTGCAAGGACAGCAAGCGTCACCTCAGTTGCCATCTCAGCGTCTTCCTCTTCGGAAACAGCCTCACCAGAAAATGGCGGTTGATATCGGTTGATGCTCTTGGTATCTCCCGCTACTCCCAAATGCTTCAAGAAAAATTGGCTCCACTGGTGTCCTGAGCGGCTTCTGCTTCTCCGCCGTGAGCTGCGTGCTCTCTTTCTGCGGGAACCTGCAGAAGCACGGCTTCACGTTTGGTCAACCTTCGTTGCGTGTCAGGTGCCACTGATGTCACTTGTTCAGTGTCCATGCAGGTCCTTGCCCAGAAGTCTTGCGGTGCCTCTTTTGCAATTTGCGGCCTAGTTGGGTCCTGTCTTTTCCCAATTCCCATCTGCCCAGCCTCGGCAGAGAATTTGAAGCAAATCTGGCTTGCCGACTTTGGCTGGTCTTTGCAGATCTCCCGAATGACGTTGAGGAGATCAGCTTGCAAAGCTTTGTCAACCTTGAACCACACCCCGTCCAGGGTGCCAGTCCAGGGTCTCGGTGCAATGCGAAGTTGGACCCCGTGCTTTGTGTGAAAGAACTGCTCCATTGCTTCAATTCCAGCTTCTTGGAAGAGTTCAGCTGCGGTCTCCTCCAAGACCTTGGAAGATGTGTCTCTTCAAAGCCTTCTTTGATGGACTGCAGACTGGCTCAGCACCTCTGGTAGAGAGATCTGGCATGAGACCTTGTGGTGGTGCCATGGAAGCTCATCCTGAGCGCGCCCCGGCTACCGCTCTTGTAAGGCCACACCACTGGTTTGTGCTTCGCAGCTGGTCCTCGGCGGCTTTCTGCTCAGCCTGCTGCATGGCGAAACTTGAGGCTGAATGCACGTCCTGGCAACCAGGGCCGCTTCAGCAGGCAGAGTCTATGTGCTTTGCAAGGACAGCAAGCGTCACCTCAGTTGCCATCTCAGCGTCTTCCTCTTCGGAAACAGCCTCACCAGAAAATGGCGGTTGATATCGGTTGATGCTCTTGGTATCTCCCGCTACTCCCAAATGCTTCAAGAAAAATTGGCTCCACTTCAAGCTTGGTCAACCTACGTTCAAATGCACGCGAGGCTCTCGTCACGCGTCACCTTGCTCTGTCAATCCTAAATGCCCGGTTCTAGGCTTAAAACGGGGGTTCTCTGACCCTCTCTAGTCTACACGATATGACCTTCCATACACTGCTAGATGTGTGAACGTTGTGCCAAGTCTCTTCATAGCCAGCCAGACGTTCCGGATCCCTGAATAATGGGTTCGAGCTGAACATCCCTGCTGTTTCCAGGTCAACCTTGAAATGCTGGAAACAAGCCGGCTCCTGATTCAAAAAATGGTTTCGACAATGCCCAACCATAGTTTTCCTGTGCACGGTTTTGGTACCACTTGCCAAGAGCCCGGCTTCTGCGTCAAAAGCCTGTTTAATTTCGCAAAACATCAGTCTTCGAACCTGTCCAGGGAAGTGATGGCCTTCGCATGTCTTTGCGACAAAACCATTTATGCTCGAAAAACTTTCGCGGAGCTATCGCCGAAAGTGTTTCTCATAGCCAGCAACTTCAGCTCAGCAGCGCATTCAGAAAGACGCTGACTTTGCAAGGCTGTCCTGAATTCAAAGCATTGAACCTGCACCCCGAAGCCTCAGATCTGAACCTGCTAGTGGCAAGCTGAGAGGCTGGGCCCCCAGAGCGTGGGGATTAAAAGGCTTTGTGTGGCCTCAGCATCCTAACATATCCTGACTATCAGTACGCACACATCTGGTTTGCGAACTTGTGCGCTCCACTTCCGCGGGAATTACACGGGATTTTTGCTAGCAACAATAAAAGGTGTCGTGGAAGCTTGCCTAGAAAGTCTGGATTAAAGACGTGACTTCCAGAGCGGGAAGCATTTCTATTGCAGAGAAGCTTGCATTCGTCTTGTCAGGGTTTTCAATCAGCCAAGGGAACGGGATTGAAACAGAACATTGCACACAGGAAAAGCCTCAGTTCTGAGAGTCCTTCAGAAAAACTTTCGTGATAAACAGACCTTTCGCGGAGCCATCGCAAGTCTTTCGCCAACACGAATCTTCCTGTTGACAACGAATTTTGCCCACCAGGACCTTCTGATCAACACTAATGCGCCAAGAGAATCTCTCGTTTGAGAGCTTTTCATTTCAATCCAACATGTGGACTCTCCCGCCGCCTTTGAGACTCGTACGGTACAAACGAGAGAATCTCCATTTGTGAGCGTTTCATTGCAGCATTGAACCATTCCCCCATCTCCTCTTGAAACCTACCGAAACGAGAGAATCTCTTGCATGGGAGGCTCATTCCTGACACCTAGCCAAACAAGAGAATCTCTCTAACTCTAGCAAGAGATGCCCACAAATGCTCCCTTCTGCTCTCATTGAAGAATCGCATCGTGAATAAAAAAGGCCAAGCCTCCCCTCGCAAACTCAGCAAACTGCTCTTGAAATTTCCCTTCGCAATGTGATATTGAAACCGTCCTCAACCAGGGCTGATGTCTTGGACTCTGCTTTACCCACGAGAAACTCAGGAGGGTCTGGCGTCCACGTGCGCCCAGGATCTCAAATCCTATAGGCCTGGGATTGTAGGTGCTGCCCTGCTCGGTCCCGTCACCCTGTAGTAGCAGACCGGAGAATTCTACTAACCTTGAAGCCACCCTCCAAGCGTAATTGAATGCACTTGCCTCAGAAGGCTCCGCTCCCATTGGGGCTTCTTCTGCTACCCGTCGCTTTTCCTGGCTAGCAGCTAGCACTCTGCCCCAAGCAGAGAAGCCCCTCAACATGATCAAAACTACCGGAGTTACACGCGCGCAGCTTTTTCAATCCCATGTGCAACATCATTTCAACAGAGGCCCACAAAGATATCACCGTGCATAATTGCGCATTAGCAGCTGCCCGTCCTTCGCGACTTCTGGGTCAGCCTGCGGTATTGCATCATCCGAAGCTGCCTGCACAGGCGCCCATGGCAACTTTAGTATGCAGCTTCTACACATGCTTGCGAGCAACAACATGTATCACCTGTGCGGCCATCTCCGCATTTGTCTCTTTGGCAACCGCCTCATCCTCAGAAGGTCTGTTGGCATCTTCGAGTCTTCGACTACAGCATGACGCTTCAGGGAACATGGCCGCTAGTGTCCTGGTCAGCTTCTGTTTCTTCCAAAGCCGCATTGTCTCCCTCGCTGGCCGCCTACAGAAGCATGGCTTCATGCTTGATCAGCCGACCTTGAAATGCACGTCCGACTCTCAAGTCTCATCACCCATCAACAAACCACCCTCCAAGCGTAATTGAATGCACTTGCCTCAGAAGGCTCCGCTGCCATTGGGGCTTCTTCTGCTGCCCGTCGCTCTTCCTGGCTAGCAGCTAGCACTCTGCACCAAGCAGACAAGCACCTCTACATTCTCAAAACTACCGGAGTTACACGCGCGCAGCTTTTTCAATCCCATGTGCAACATCATTTCAACAGAGGCCCACAAAAATATCACCGTGCATTATTGCGCATTAGCAGCTGCCAGTCCTCCGCGACTTCTGGGTCAGCCTGCGGTATTGCATCATCCGAAGCTGCCTGCACAGACGCCCATGGCAGCTTTAGCATGCAGCTTCTGCACATGCTTGCGAGCAACAACATGTATCACCTGTGCGGCAATCTCCGCATTTGTCTCTTTGGCAA